TGCCGCTGTGTGGACATCAAAGACACCTATAGTTAGGTTCACTACGGTGGAGATGCACCAAAGTGACCGGGTGAAACTTCAATTTGGGATGCATCAAGATATTCCAGATGCTCCCGTAGACTTGGGGAAGTGGCATCAAAAGCGGGTAGACGCACAGTGGATGGTTGGTGATTGGAAGGAGTTTGCAAAAGAGTTGCGTGTACACTGGAAAAGAAGAAGGCAATACGTCTTAACCGACAGTATTGTGCACGGGGCTAGACCAAGTCTTCAATATATGACTTGGTTTAGGTCTGTCACGACATCCCAGCCTTTCCTGTCCCAGCCAACCTATTTGGCCGATCCAAGGGAACGCGATTCTTCATCATACCCACAAATACCAACAGACACCCCCTATCAACAACAACCACCATACGAAAACCAATCCATGCCAACATATACCCCCTATCAACAACAACCACCTTACATGCCACCAACCCAATCTCAGCCTCAACCATCTTACCGGTACAGCCCTGATATGTCTTTTGATCCTACCCCTGCCACCTATAGTCCAGACAACTCATTTGACCCTACCCCCTCCAACTACACCTCCAACCACCCACTATTTGACTACCACACCCCACAACAACCAACACACCTAGACCAACCCAACTCCATGTACACTTTCGGACAACCATACCGTCCATACTCCACCCACCCTCCCCGACAATCGTACGAAAACATGGGCATTGGCCTTGACTACGGAAGCGCATGTGACATGGGACCTCCCGGCTACTGAGGTCAAATGATGCAAACGCTATCTGATATGCCGGGGCCGTCACAACCATACCCTCCTCCACAACTCAACACACAGAGACCAGAGACACCACAACAACCTCGTCGAAGACCTCGTCGCAACACGCGTCCCCCCAATGTGGCACCGATGGTCACTTGGATAGAGCCGGTCATTAGTGTTTTTTTGTTTGTAATTTTCAGAATATTAATATATTTGTTGATGTATTTTTACTTATATTATAAATTAATATATTTTCTTTTTATGGTTACTAATATATTTTAATTACATTAATATTATTTATATTATAAATTAATATATTTTATAGTTACTAATAATAATATTTTAATTATATTAATATTATTTATATTATAAATTAATATATTTTATAGTTACTAATAATAATGATATTAAAATTAAAAAAAAAAAATTTAAAACTATAAATATATGATAAAAAATACAAGAAAAACGAAAAAAAAATTGGAAACCCTAAAAATTAGCCACATTCCCCAGTTCATGTGGCGACAACACATTGACCAATTCTCTGAAACAACATTTTAACTAATTCGCCAAACCATTTGGCGAATGCTTGTTGGATGAATTTCAAAGTTTGTCATTTTGATAATTTTTTTGAAAGCTTGTTTTATTTGGTAATTAAATTATATAACATTGCTACTTTAAAAAAAAATTCAACATGGTTGTTATAAAAAGCATGCTAAAAGATATATTTTTATATTTAATAAGATATATTTTTTAAATAATATTTGTGTGAATTGTCCAGATTTATAATTTGGGAATGGAGTAGTATAATTAATTGTAGATTGCATTTAAAAAAGAAAGAAAAAAAATTATAATTAGGATTTAATTGTTATGCACTGACATTTAATAGAGATATATCATTCTTTCATGTCATCTAATTAATTTAAAATTTTCGTTAGGAGGATCGTGATTGGTTGACAATACGAAAAAAATTTAGACGGTAGAGTATCTCCCTTTCCCAATCAATTAATGATTGTATTTAAAAAAATATTTTAAAGGATCTATAATCCAATAATGGGTCAATTACATGTTAATTAAATATAAAAAAGATAGTTTTTCTTTTTAAAAATATTTTGCACAAATAAGTTTTTGTAATTGTTTGTAGAGTTTTATTGTTTTACTATTGAATTAATTAAATAGGTAAGATTTAAGATTCAGAGAATCAAAATCGAATATAATTTGAAAGAAGAATATGAATCATAAATATAATTGATATGATTTTGTTTGGATGATTGATTAAATGTAGAAAGATATGTGGTATCATTTTCTTTTAACACAGAAACACATGATACCACTCTCGTACCACTCTCTTACCCAACAATATTATTTTTCGTATTTTTTATATATTAAAAATCAAAATCAAAATTCCTCCTAAAATTCTACTTATGTGAACTCTCTAAATTTTAAATCATAACCATTTAATTAATTTAAAAGGCAAAATAATAAAAGGTTTAAACAAAATATTCTAAAAAAAGAAGATTATCTTTAAAAATAAATTAAATGGTAATTGGAAAATTATTTAATTATTAATCTTCTATGATATTTTTTTAACATAATCAACAATTAAATATTCTAATTTATTAAAAAGTTCAATATATAAATAATTCAAAAAATAATATTTTGAAAAATAAAATCAACATTACTTTTTTTATCTAAAAAAATGTAAATTTTTTTGAGGCAATTCACACAAATTTAGAAACATCGTTGTTATAAAAAGCATTCTAAAAGATATATTTTTATATTTAATAAGATATATTTTTTAAATAAAAATTGTGTGAAATGTCCAAATTGATTTATAATTTGGGAATGATGGAGTAGTATAATTAATTGTAGATTGCATTTTGAAAAAAAATTGCAAAAATAATAATAATTAGGGTTTAATTATTATGCACTGACATCTAATTATTAATAATTAGGCTTATCCTCCATTAAAACTCTGACAATCAAAAAGTTTATAACCTCCCTTTTGAGGGGAATTAAAACTTGTAGAGTATAATAATAAGTTTAGGGTGTTTACGATGCAAAAATTAGGTTTTCCTTATTTTGACATTTTCTTTCGGATAAATCAAAGATCGGTTGTGAACTAAAGATGTGATTCAAATTAATTAATAATTTGATATCTTATTCTTACCGCAACAGAAAATGACGACTTCACTGATGATCTTCCTAACTTTTAAGGGTTACCTCTACTTTGTTTGCTGTATGCTATTTACTTTATTACCTGCTTGTATATAATATATCTATTGTACCTTGCTTGGGGTATTTCGATCTTGAGATAAGTCCTACACCCGGATTTGAGTGACATTATTATAGGTAGGCAAGATAAACCAATAAATTATTTTTTATGATGATTTTGTAAGAATATATTTAAAATAATTACTAAATAAATATAAATGACTAATCTTTTTATTTTTATTTTTAAATTTAATATTTCATAATTTTAATCTGAAATTGATATGTCATATCTTTTATTTGTATTTATTCATTAATTTATTTAATAATTTAATATTCAATTCATTCATAAATATTGATAAATAGCTAAAAAAAATTGAATTAAAAAAATTATGACAAAAAGTGATACAAAAATAAAATAAAAAAATATGAGTAGGAAAATAGAAATTCTCGAAAGAAAAAAGAACAGTTAAATTAAGTGATAAAATAGAAATAAAAAATCAATAATTCACTTAAAAAGAAAAAAATATTTTTTTTTCTAAAACGATATAACAAATTGATAAAAAAATTTTACAACATGAATGAACAATAGATTAAAATGTGATACTTGAAAAAAAAACCAGGAAAAAGAAACAAAATCAAAATGAAGGAATAAAATAATAAGATAAGTTCTAACAAACAAATTGTATAGAGAAATAATTTGAAATTTATACTTTTCAAAAATAATAAAAAATTATTTTAATTTAGTGAATGATTAATTTATAAATAGAATTGTGAGATTTAGTTAAGGGGGATAAAGGAAATATTGAAAACTAGAGTACATGGATGTGAGTTGATTTTTTTATGAGTGATTTTGTTTGACTAATAAATTAATAAATAAATAAATAAATAAATAGTAAATGTAAATATTACTAAATCATGAAGTTTGGTTATTGGAGGTTAAGAAGTTAATGGGAAAGTGCCATGCATATGGGTTAGTGGATTTTTAAAATAATTTATTATTTGTCAATTAATGATGTTTATTTTCCTTAGTTAATTGATTCATTCTTAAAATGACTGAATAATTTATCATAAAAAAAGTTGAATAATATTTTTGTAATAAAGTATAAATTACTGTTTAAATTTTAAATCATAACCATTTAATTAATTTAAAAGGCAAAATAATAAAAGGTTTAAACAAAATATTCTAAAAAAGAAGCTTATCTTTAAAAATAAATTAAATGGTAATTGGAAAATTATTTAATTATTAATCTTCTATGATATTTTTTAACATAATCAACAATTAAATATTTTAATTTATTAAAAAAAATTCAATATATAAATAATTCAAAAAACAATATTTTTAAAAATAAAATCAACAATTAAGAATATTACTTTCTTTATCTAAAAAAATATAAAATTTTTTTTGAGGCAATTCACACAAATTTAGAAACATGGTTTTTATAAAAAGCATGCTAAAAGATATATTTTTATATTTAATAAGATATATTTTTTAAATAAAATTTGTGTGAAATGTCCAAATTGATTTATAATTTGAGAATGATGGAGTAGTATAATTAATTGTAGATTGATTTTTTTTTTAAAATTACAAAAAAATAATAATTAGGCTTTAATTGGTATGCACTGATATCTAATATAGATATATCATTCTTTTATGTCATATATTAATTTAAAATTTTCGGTATGACATGTTAATTAAATATAAAAAAAGATAGCTTTTCTTTTTAAAAATATTTTGCACAAATAAGTTTTTGTAATTGTTTGTAGAGTTTTATTGTTTTACTATTGAATTAATTAAATAGGTAATTGAGAGAATCAAAATCGAATATAATTTGAAAGAAGAATATGAATCATAAATATAATTGATATGATTTTGTTTGGATGATTGATTAAATGTAGAAAGAAATTATAAATTAAAAAGATATTTTGTAATAATTGTTTGAAGAAAGATGATATTTGAAGGTAATATAAATACAAGGCGTTGGGAGGTTTGGTGAGCCGCATTAGCATTCAGAAAAATATGTCTTCAAGAAACAAAAAGGTTAGTATCTATGTTTCTGATGATATCGTCTTGTCTATTTTGTCAAAATTACCTTTAAAATCTGTGAATCGGTTTACTTGTGTACACAAATGTTGGAGTCTTTTGTTTGAAAATTCTTGTTTTGTAAACATGTTTTACAAAAATATGGTTTCGAAATATCAATCACTTGGCGATGAAGAAAAGTGTCTCTTGACAAACTATTTTGATAGTACCAACTGGCAATGGAAATTGCATGTGTTGTCACTTGAGACATTTGAGAGTAAAATGCAACTTAACTTCCCACATCCTTTTAAACCAGATCTCTATCGCTCTCCATCTCCTTCTACACTAGTTTCTTATGCTGATGGAGTTCTATGTATCTACGACCGCTATCATTCAGATATTGCATTATGGAATCATGTTACCGCAGAGTTAAATATCATCCCCCGGAGTATTGCTATAAGGAAGGAAGGTTCTGGTATGCATGAAGAATTTAGATTTTATAAAGAATTTCACATCAACACTATTATTCATGGATTTGGTTATGACCAAATTAAAGATGACTACAAGATCATTCAGTATGTTAAAGGGAGAGGTTGTTGGGAAGACAGACTGCCTTATCCTTTATGGGAAATATATAGTCTTAAAAGGAAATTTTGGAAGAGACTTTACCTTGATGATATGCCAACACGCAGTGGGATGTGCGATCCGCTATCTTTCAATGGTGTGTGTCATTGGTGCGGGTATATTAGGGATGAAACATATGTGGTATCATTTTATTTTAACACAGAAACACATGTTACCACTCCCTTACCCAAAAATATGCAAGATTTAGATTGTTCGGAGATATACTTGATATTGTTAAATGGATATGTTGCTATGATCTCAAGCTATGTTCTTGAGGACCGCGTCTCAATTGCAATTTTGACTGAACTCGGCGTCATGGAATCATGGATTAAATTATTTGATTTTATACCTTCTTCAAACATGTATTATCCTATTGGAGCAAGTAAGAATGGAGATTTACTTTACAAACATAAAGATCAATTAATTTCTGTTGATTTAACAACTGGAATAGTTCTCAACATTGATCTTAACAAAGACATAAAAGATGTATTGGGTGAGAAAGAATCTCGTAGTAATATGCTAGTCTATTAGATTTAAGAATAAACCATTGCAATTTTAATTTTCCTTTTCAAAGTTTATCACTATAGTTATTAGGATTTAACATTTTATCCTATCATATTGAAATTTGAAATCTACTGTTTTATTTTTTATTCTTCAGATTTCTATTTTTATTGTATTTGAGATTTCTTCTCTGTATTTCTTCAAGTATTCAATTGCAACCTCAAATTTTAAAGGAATTTAGTATTGTCAGTAAGGTTTCTCTAGTGGCATGAGATTTAAGTCTATATACCAATGTGTCTATTTGTATACATGTATATGTTATCTACTTATAAAGAGTTTGAAAGGGTAAAATACAAATCTATGTGTTGATTATTGGTTTTCAGAATCTACATGACACTCTTTATTACATGGAACACAAAAATCGCTTGGTACAAATTACTGTTTAAAAATAAACAAATGTAACACTAACTATTGAATTGTTATTAATAAGTATTAATTTTAGAAATATATAAAATATATTCATATGAATATTTATATTTTATCAAGTGTATTTTTAATTAATAATTATTAGTAATTTAATAGTTTATCTATAATGTAAAAAAGATATTATAGAATTTACAATAATTACTAAATAAATTCAAATATCTATTTTAAACTTAAACTTTAATCATTGCAAAATTTTAATCCAAATTCCATATGTCATATGTTTTGTTATGATTCATTAATTTAACAATTTAATATCCAATTCATTCATAAATATTGTTAAATAGCTATAAATAAATTTGAATTGAAAAAGTTATGACAAAAAGTGATAAAAAAAAAGTGATTTGGTTTTTGTATGAGTGATTTTGTTTAATTAATAAATTAATAAATATATAATTAAATAATAAATGAAAATAATACGGAGTGTATATGGATTGAGTTTTCTCATATTTGGTCTAATCTGTTATCCAATCCGTTTAAATTTCAATGGGTTGGGTTGGGTTAAATTCCAATCCTGAACGTATCCGTTCATTTATGAGTTAGGTTGGAGGAAGTTTTACTTCATACCCCTACACTTATACCTATACCCCTACATTAAAAAATTTTGGACCAAAATATCCTCGTATAAAAATTTATTATTTTTTAATTTTTTTAATATTTTTTTATTTGTTTACCGGAAGACTTTTTGGAAGTCTTCCGGTTCACATTTTTTTTAGTATGTTTACCGGAAGACTTTTTGGAAGTCTTCCGGTAAATATTTTTTTCGTTTGTTTACCGGAAGACTTTTTGGAAGTCTTCCGGTTCATGTTTTTTTTTTAATTTGTAATTAATATTTAAGATTTATTAATTTTATATAAAGACCAATTTAGTAAATTTTTGAATATTATACTTAAAATATAAAAATTCTATAAATAGAGAATCATTTTCAGAATATTTTCTATTTACTATAATTATTAGAATACTAGGATTAAAATCATTTATTTTAAATGATCATAATAGTAGAATTTTCTCAAATATCTTATTAATCTTAAACATTAATAAATAAAATAAATTTAAATATAAGATATAAGTTTACATTATTCAATATATTTAATCAAATGAAAACATATGTGATAAATAAATAATGTATTTTAACTTAAAATGATCACAATAAGTTAACTTGCAAAATAATATAAGTAATAAATTAATAATGTATTTTATTTAAAATAATCACAATAATAAAATACGCAAATAATGTGTTTTATTTATAGGACTGATATAGTTTTATTGATTATTTAATTTTGAATACTACTATGAATATAGTATTTAATCTATACTTTAGAACTCACATAATTATAAATATAAAAAATATTGTTTTATTACCCATATTTTTATTTAATTAAAAAAAAATAAGAATATAAATTTATTATTTGTTTTTCATTTTTGTTTGATCTTTTTAATTATTTCACTTTATTTAATATTTTTAATAAAATAAATAATATATTTTATTTAAAGTAAGCACAGTATAGAATATGCAAAAATTTATAAATAAAAAAAAGATCAAACGAAAATATAGTAAATAGAAAATATTCTATTTATAGTAAATTGATCATAGTATTCTAATAATTATAGTAAATAGTAATTTGATCTTTTTTTTATTTATAAATTTTTTGCATATTCTATACTGTGCTTACTTTAAATAAAATATATTATTTATTTTATTAAAAATATTAAACAAAGTGAAATAATTAAAAAGATCAAACAAAAATGAAAAATAAATAATAAATTTATATTCTTATTTTTTTTAATTAAATAAAAATATGGGTAATAAAACAATATTTTTTATATTTATAATTATGTGAGTTCTAAAGTATAGATTAAATACTATATTCATAATAGTATTCAAAATTAAATAATCAATAAAACTATATCAGTCCTATAAATAAAACGCATTATTTGCGTATTTTATTATTGTGATTATTTTAAATAAAATATATTATTAATTTATTACTTATATTATTTTGCAAGTTAACTTATTGTGATCATTTTAAGTTAAAATACATTATTTATTTATCACATATGTTTTCATTTGATTAAATATATTGAATAATGTAAACTTATATCTTATATTTAAATTTATTTTATTTATTAATGTTTAAGATTAATAAGATATTTGAGAAAATTCTACTATTATGATCATTTAAAATAAATGATTTTAATCCTAGTATTCTAATAATTATAGTAAATAGAAAATATTCTGAAAATGATTCTCTATTTATAGAATTTTTATATTTTAAGTATAATATTCAAAAATTTACTAAATTGGTCTTTATATAAAATTAATAAATCTTAAATATTAATTACAAATTAAAAAAAAACATGAATCGGAAAACTTCCAAAAAGTCTTCCGGTAAACAAACGAAAAAAAATATTTATCGGAAGACTTCCAAAAAGTCTTCCGGTAAACATACTAAAAAAGTGTGAACAGGAAGACTTCCAAAAAGTCTTTCGGTAAACAAATAAAAAAATATTTAAAAATTAAAAAATAATAAATTTTTATACGAGGATATTTTGGTCCAAAATTTTTTAATGTAGGGGTATAGGTATAAGTGTAGGGGTATGGGGTAAAACTTCCTAGGTTGGATTGGAATCGTGGGTTTTGTTTCAAATAATTTTTTTTTTATGAATCTTTTTGTCGGTTAAAAAAAATATAAGACAAGTCAATAAAATCATACTCATTTATACCAGTCAAATTCGATATAAAAACATCATATAATATCTTATAAATTTCTTCAACACGACATAGTACTTATAATAGTATAAAAACACATTATTTCCTGAAAAAAATATATAAGTTGAAAATGATATAAAAGAAAATAAAAAACAACATTTAATCTTAATATTATGTGAAATCTAATAATATTATGAAAGAAAACAATATATATATATATATATATATATATATATATATATATATATATATATATATATATATATATATATATATATATATATATATATATATATATATATATATATATATATATATATATATATATATATATATATATATATATATATATTTATTTATAAAAATTATGGTTTTTAGCGAAATATTAATTTAATAAGAAATTACTATGGTCACATTAGTGGGTCGGGTCAACGGATTTGCGGGTCAAAATTATACGGGTTGTTATAGGTTGGGGTGAGTATATTCGTAAATAAATATGTTTTGATAATTTATGAGTTGGTTTGGTTTAGATAAGTGAATTTGTGGGTCGACCCGCACCTATTAACACCTCCACTAAATCATAAAGTTTGATTATTGGGGTTAAAAAGTTAATGAAAACTTGTCGATTAGAGAATTTTTTTAGATATTTTGTTATTTGTTAATTAATGATGTTTATTTTTCTTATTAATTGATTCATTGTTCATTATAATATTATAGCTATTTTTTAGATATTTTTAATGAAAATTTATTAATTTTAAATTAATTAAATAAAATAATTTGCGAGCTTTAATCATAGATAGAATTGCTAATTATTTCTTAATTAATTGAAAATATGGGTGTTGGATAAGTGAAGTTTTTTTATTTATTAATTTTTTATTATTTAATTTTTTATGTTATTCATTATTTAATAAGATTTATTTTTTATTCAAATAGAAAAATATTTAATGTTTATTTAAAAAGTTTTAAAAAGTGGGTGATTTGAGTTTTTTATTTATTAATTAGTAACGTTTGTATTTTATGTGATTGAGTGATGATTGTTATTAATTAGTTTATTTATTATTTATTAATTAGTAATTTTTGCAATTTATTATTTTACTAATTTATTATTTATTATTTATTTTGGCGAAAAATTCTTGTAAAAGAACTTACAAAATTATAATTTAGTATGACAAATGTAAAAAGACAAAATTATGATAAATAAATAAATAAATAAAGATAGTTTACCAGATCTATTCCAACAATATATCATAAGTTGGTAAATTTAATATGTACTTACAGATTTTTTTACCATCACTAATACCTTTTGCTAGTACATGTTAATTTTCTTACAATTTTATTTTTTTTGTTTTATTTTGTTATTTCATTTATATGTGTGAATTGATGCATAATCTTAAAAGGATATGATTATGAAATTCCTATATTAAATTCTCAAAAACACAACCATTATTAAGACATAAGAGAAGAAGAATAACATGGAAAATCAAACATCAAAAGATGAAAGGGAAAACAAATGGTAGGACTATAAACAACGACGGAAAAAACCTAAAACTAGGGATTAGAAAATTAGGGTTTTTTAGGAGACAAAGAAGAACGGGGACGACACTTTCTTCCTAGAAAAAATTGTATGGCTTATAGTCTGACAAATGACATTTTTTATCCACTCTATGTGATGAGGCTGAACACACTGAAAACTCGATTTTCTCTTCTCATATTTCATTGATGCATCTCCGAATGAATCTAATACACACACAAAAATATGTTGCAAGTGAGTCGCACCTTTTTTATATCAAAAATTAACCCAGAGATGCATCTATGAAATCACCAATGGATGTCATAG